TCAATCAATGGTATCTATTAATTAATATGCATTTTGATTGATTGAAATTTTGATTTTAAAATTTTGAAAAACTAGATTTAGATTAAATTTGAATTAAAGTTAAAGAAAATTGTATTTTTGTACTGATTTAATAAATTATTGTGACAGTATTATCTCAATTAAATAAGAATGTGACTACGTTTGATTAGTTTTAAGAGAAGAAAAAAATAATATTACAACATATTTTTATTAAATAAGAGAAACTATATATTTTTTACAAAATGAATTAGGCCTTCTCTTTCATAAAAAAGTCTATTTAGTTGAAAAAAGAAATCTAGACATTGATTATTTTCTTAAATATTAAGGATACTTTGTTATTATTAATATATTACATTCGTCTATTTATTTATTACCTTTAAATGTTAAGTATTTTTACAGTAAGTGAACTTATTGAAAAAATAATTTATATCATATTTAGAGGTCGTATTACAAAAATAAATTTATGAAGAATAATACATTATATGGTTCTTCATTTGCATCAAGAATTTTTAATATATGATTTATGTAATTAAAACTTGTATTAAATACAAATATATTTGTATATATAATTTATATTTTAAATTTACGTCAGAACACTTTAAATCATTGAATTTATACTGATTATAAGTTATTGAAATTTAATTTAAAATGGAAATAATTATAGATGGAAATATGTAGGTGTTTAGGAGAAGAATAGTATTATTAAGAAAATCGTTTGAGACGTTCAAAGAGCTTTTTTTTTAATAATCCAAACAATATATTGTGCAACTGCAATGCAAGAATTGGAAAAGAAAAAATAGCAAGAGAATTCATTCTTAAATTGTGTATATTTTTTTATTAAATAATCCGTTAGATCGAATCTTATAAATAAATTTTCCATCAAGGTGGTATTAAATAATCCTTTTCGGTGGAAGAATTTTCTAGAGAAAAACTGTTATTAGAGAGAATATAGAAGACAATTTATTACAGATTTAAATAAAGTGGTTAAATTAAATGAATAATAAAATATAAATCTTCTTTAAATAGATATAAATGCTCTTAAAAGAAATTTATTCTTTATTTACTGTGAAATTTCATTTTTCTAAAATTTGAACATTTATTCTTGGTTTCTTGATCACTTATCTTTTCATAATCATATCCCGTTTATACAGGAGGCGAAGAATAAAAAAATATAAACCAAATAAAATTTTATTTTCGGTAAGTTATATATTTTCTGACATTTAGCCTCTATTTAGTTTTATTGTTCATATGTGAATATATAATAATTTGAGAGTGAAATAATATAAGAAATAGAAACTTCAAAATAAATTATTATTGATGTTGGGATTTCTGTTTCTACATATATGAAGATTTGAATGTTCTTGTATATTTTGGGATGTCTTGTAATCATAAAATATCAAGCTACATTTTATATAAAATAAACTAATATTTGATAAGTTTTGTAGTATATAATAAATTATAACAGTATATAATAAATTATAATAATAATTTAATTAATATTAATAATTAAATTAAATTAATTTATAATAATAAGGATAATTTAATTATTTTGTTAATATATAATTCTATAATTTCTTTTAAACTACTATACCTATCAATTCATTTACATTATTACCATACACTTAACAAACCTTCATTTATTCTACTTGAAATAATACATGTAACTAAATATCAAAAAGACTTTTCATATAAAGTATACAACAATAGACATACAATTTAATTAAAAAACAATAATAATTGAAAGTAACTTAAAGAACAAAATGCGTATTAAAACCCATTTTATAATGTAATCGAATTATAAAGTGATCTTAGATACCAAAAATCATGATAAATATTTAATATTTTCTTAAATAATAAAGATTATCATTTCTTACTATAAGAACATGTTAAAACAAAACATGACTGGAATTACTATAATGATCATATCATCGATAATCAATAAAAATAATACCAGCATAATTAAGAAATGTACAGATTAGGAGAAAACAAGAAAAACAAAAAACAACTATACATTTTTAAACTATTCCATACAAACCATGTAGACAAGATCAGGATATTGGTACAAGTGTTCAATAGCGACCACGTCAACATACCAATTACATCCTCCGCCAATGTCTGAACAAATAAATTTTAATGGCTGTCAAGAATTTCAAGACATGACAAAAAGGCAAATACCACGGCCATTTCCTTCTACAAGATGATTGCACAGTCTCATTTGGGGTTCCTAAGAACAATGATGACAGAATCTCCACGGAGGAACATTTTGCTAATGAATCTATCCTTGTTCACTGGCTGGGCCTTTTTCTTTCCTTTACCAGTCTTGGGCACCTGATTGTGTACACAGATCGATTAGCATGTGTAACAAATGCAAGGGAAGTTAATTTATTAAAAGAAAAACCATACCTCGGTCCACATCTCCCTCACATTTTCAAGAACCATGTTGCAGTGCCTATCAAAAGCTCTAACACGACCCAGAAGCTTTTTGTTATTCCGACAATTTATCAATACCTTCATAAATAACGTTGTTAGAAAAAAATATACCTCTTAAATAGTATACGATATTTAAAATGAACATTTACCTGGGTATTATTTTTAACACTCATCATTAGTACAGATAGTGGTCCTGTGTTGAACTCCTCTTCCTCATTCTTCCCCGCAGCAGTCTGTTAAAAATGGTTTGTTAGCTTGGCAAAGATAGTAACGTATAGCGAGTCTAGAGCCCCAATAAAAAAGCTAGTCTACAACAAGAAAGCCAATTTCATTCAAAATGGAGAAGAAACAGGAAATAATTTTAGCAAATAAATTAGTAACAGATTAAATTTAAAGCTTCAAAATGTAACAGATTAACATTTTACTAGTTGACAGAAAAACATCCAACTTATCACTATCAAACAAATGCGTTATCATGAGCTAATAAAACTCATTTGCCTAACTAGACTGGTTAATGGTTAAATATAAGAAATATCATCAGAGATTCAATTCCCATAAATAGTTAATTAGTCAAATAAATACAATCAAAGCAAAAAACTCGCACCAAAGAAATATAGAGAACAAAACAATTGTAGATTTCAAGGATCATACACGCATGTAACCAAACATGCATGACGGCTAAAAGAACTTACATCTTCCTCCATTGGCCGGCTTGAGAAGAGAAATAAAAGGTAAAGAAAACAAAAACCTGTTAGTAATTGAGAACAAATTTTAAAAAATCAAAGTAATAATAATATTGATGATAGTTAGAGAACCAGTACCTCATTTTGGAAGGATTGGAAGTTCAGAAACTCTCCAAATGAAGTCAAAACTAAAATAAGAAAAAAATATATAAATCAAATGATTGATTAAAACATCAAACACAAAACGGTAACATAACCAAAAAATAAAAAGCAGAATAAGATACACTTTAACGGAATAACAAAATAAAACATTAGCAAGCCTCTTCAGTTCAGGTCTCCATTTATTTTCTTCATAGACAACTCAGTTTATTTTTATGATCATCCTCAGAGACTAATTTGGTTGATTTCAACTATCAACGCAGGGATAGACTTCAGAATTACTGGACTAAGAAGACATCACTAAAAGGGGCAATAATAACCAAACATACTGAAAACATGTATTAGAAGACTCAGAAGAACGAAAGTAATATTTTTCATCATCCTCAGAGGCAATTTACACTAAAGGGGCAAACAAAAATGTACTCTCTACAACATAATTACAAAGAATGAATACTGAAAACATGTATTAGAAGACAAACATATGAAAGCCTCTTCAGTTCAGGTCTCCATATATTTTCCGCATAGAAAACTCAGAAGAACGAAAGTAATATTTTTCATCATCCTCAGAGGCAATTTACACTAAGGGGGCAAACAAAAATGTACTTTCTACAACATAATTCTAAAGAATTAATATTGAAAACATATATTACAAGACAAACATATGAAAGCCTCTTCAGTTCAGGTCTCCATATATTTTCCGCATAGAAAACTCAGAAGAACGAAAGTAATATTTTTCATCATCCTCAGAGGCAATTTACACGAAGGGGGCAAACAAAAATGTACTATCTACAACATAATTCTAAAGAATTAATATTGAAAGCATATATTACAAGACAAACATATGAAAGCCTCTTCAGTTCAGGTCTCCATATATTTTCCGCATAGAAAACTCAGAAGAACGAAAGTAATATTTTTCATCATCCTCAGAGGCAATTTACACGAAGGGGGCAAACAAAAATGTACTCTCTACAACATAATTCTAAAGAATTAATATTGAAAGCATATATTACAAGACAAACACATGAAAGCCTCTTCAGTTCAGGTCTCCATATATTTTCCACATAGAAAACTCAGAAGAACGAAAGTAATATTTTTCATCATCCTCAGAGGCAATTTACTCGAAGGGGGCAAACAAAAATGTACTTTCTACAACATAATTCTAAAGAATTAATATTGAAAACATATATTACAAGACAAACATATGAAAGCCTCTTCAGTTCAGGTCTCCATATATTTTCCGCATAGAAAACTCAGAAGAACGAAAGTAATATTTTTCATCATCCTCAGAGGCAATTTACACGAAGGGGGCAAACAAAAATGTACACTCTGCAACATAAAAGAATGAATATTGAAAACATATATTATAAGACAAACATATGAAAGCCTCTTCAGTTCAGGTCTCCGTATATTTTCAGCATAGAAAACTCAGAAGAACGAAAGATATATTTTACATCATCCTCAGAGGCCAATTGACTGTTTTAAAAAATGTAACAAAAGACTCTGTCTAAAAGAAATACAATGTACAGAAGACCCAAAGATTATAGGATATGCTATGGACATAGAAGAAAATATAATGTCCATAAATGAAACTAGGAGCAAAACAATTTGTCTGCTGGTACTGGGCTCGATTAAAAATAGCTGAATAATGTGCATAAAAGTCAGTTTACCCACAACGGGTCTGCCAGGGAATATTAAGACAAAAATTAGAAAGCCCCTTCAGTTCAGGTCTCCATACATTTTCCGCATAGAAAACTCAGTAGAACGAAAGTTATACTTTTCATCATCCTCAGAGGCCAATTTCATGATTTCAACACATTCAATGCACACACATTTCATAATTGCATGACATACTATGTGTATACAAGTAAAAGGGTTGATCCTAGATTAAACTTGTGAGCAAACAAGAAACTATACTCTGCTATCGGGATCGATTAAAACAACTAGATATTGGCAACAGAAGAAAGATCGACCTCAACAGGTTTGAGAGGGAATATGAAGTCATACAATAAGAAAGTATCTTCAGTTCAAGTCTCTCCACACATAAATATTCAGCATGGAAAGGAAAAAAGAATGCTATTTTTTCTCATCATCCTCCGACATTTTTTACCAGCTTAGCCATGACACGAAAGGTTGTATACGTCAATCAACATCACATTAATCACATTTTGTGGGACAAAATGAAAACTGAATGAATCAAGCAGCAAACATTCCGGTGACTAAAGAAAAACATACGGTTAGGATGTACAGCTGCCTAATAATCCAATCCTCTGTCAACCATCATCATTCTAACTCTCTCCATGTCCTCTAATCTGCCTGAATTTTCATAAATCCCCATAAGAAGTACAAAGTTATGCTCGTTGTCTGGCTCCAAATCAAAAAGCCTGTTTGCAGCAATCTCCCCTATAGTTGTGTCTCCATGCAAAAAGCAGGCATACAATAAAGCTCCCCAAAGAGTTGGACCTGCAGCCTCATAGCCCATTCCATCCAATATGATGCTATAAGCCTTTTTAATTAGTCCTGCTCTTCCATAAAGGTTAACCATACAACCATAATGTTCCATAATTGGTTTTATTTTATATTTTTCGCGCATCAAAGCAAATACTCTCTCTCCCTCCTTCACCAAAACTAAGTGGGCACAAGCTGATAATATTGAAACAAACGTTATTTTATCAGGCTCAACACCCGCTTCTTCCATTTGCTCCAACAAGGCGAGGGCTTCCCGGCGGTTGCGATGTGCAGATATTATAGAATTCCACGAAACAACATCCCTCTCTGGCATTTGATTGAATATCCAACATGCCTTTTCTAACCTACCATGACTGGAGTACATCACCATCAAGGAATTAGCTATGGACAAGTTCCAATCAAGTCCTCGCCGAATTACCCATCCATGAATTTAGAGACCTAGACATAGCGAAGACACACATGTAAGAATAGTGGATATGCTTACAGAATCAGGTTCACACCCTTCCAAAATCATTTGGTAGAAAATGTTCATTGCCCCAATCTCAAGGTCATGATGAACATATGCAATGAGCATGGAATTCCACGAAATGGTGTCTCTATGAGGCATCTTGTCAAAGATCTTTTGCGCCTTTACAATGTCACCACACTTCGAATACATGTCAACAAGTGCATTAAGCACAAACCCATCAATGGAAAATCCAGCACGAACCAAATGGCGATGCACTTCTTCCCCCAGTCGAAGAGACCCAATTCTAGCACAAACTTTGAGAACTCTAGGGAAGGTGAAAAAGTCAGGTTTAACACCCTCTTCTACCATTTGGAAGTAGAGTGCAATGGCGTCGTCATAGAGGCCCATTTGGGCATACCCTGAGATGAGTGAATTCCAAGGAAATGCAGATGTGTCCCTATTAGACATTTGATCAAACAGCTCGTGGGCATCGTCCATATACCCACATGCCGCATACAACCTAAGAAGCTTGGAAGAGATGCCAAAATTTCTACGCAACATGAATGTTGGGATAAGGCAATGGAGTCTGATACCAAGATGAATGGCTTGCAAGCTATAGCATATTTCTAATAAAGAGGCATATATTTCAGGGTCGATTTTGATGCCCTTCTCAATAGAGTCTTCAAGGTTTGTGATGACTTGTTCAAGTGCTTCCAAATGGGTTTGGGGAGGAGGACGGCAATGGATAAGGAGTGGGGTTGATTTGGGTTTTGGGTAACGAAGAACATTTCTTCTTTCTTGGCCTTCCAAGCGTCTCTCTTTCCAAGTTTTATTTTTGTTCTTATTCTTCTTCTGGGCACACAAGCTCGTGGCATTTGGAGGGAACCTTACTAGTATGCTTATCATTCTAATTTCCTGGATCACAAATTGTGCATACAGACGTCACAATCACCATATATGTAACGAAAATATACAGTGACCTTTTTTTTCTTATCCAATTTTGACTCACCTACATGTAAGAAAAAAGTGGGTCATTGTATCATTTTCGTTTTCCATATATGTAATTCTAGAAACAAAGGAACTTCACCTGTAGAGGATATTCATCTCTATCTTGATTTTAATTGCATTCTTTAACATATCTTGTTATTTGATAAAATATATAATTGGAGGACCTCCTTATCATGCTTATAGTTCATAATACTTATGAATTAGAAGATAAAGAGTAATGGCACGCACTGTCAGACGGGAATTATATATATCTTGTCATATAACGCAATACGTTAAAGAATGTCATTGAAATAGAGATTAACATCCCCTGCAGGATTTAGTTCCTTCTCTTCTACGATTAAAGATCAAGTTACATCCAATGCACACACATTTTAGAAGTGCACGACATGCGATGTGTATACAAGTAAAAAGGTTGATCCTAAACTTGTGAGCAAACAAGAAACTATATTCTACTATCGGGTTTGATTAAAACAACTAGATATTGTCTACAGAAGAAAGATCGACCTCAACAGGTCTGAGGGAATATGAAGTCATACAATAAGAAAGTCTCTTCAGTTCAGGACTTCCATATATAAATATTGCGCATGGAAAACTCGGAAAAAAGAATGCTATTTTTTCTCATCATCCTCAGACTGTTTTTACCAGCTTAACGATGACAGGAAAGGTTGTATACGTTAATCGGCATCACATTAAGATAATAGCAGAAACAGAAAATCACCTGAGATAAAAAAAAAAGTCACAAAACTTAAAAAACAAGAATGCAAACTTAAAAAACTTAACCCTAGAAGCCCGGGATCGGAAGAAGATGAAGGAGCAAGGATTTTTTTGTGAAATCAAGTGCAAAACAAATAGAAATGATGAGACACACAGACGGATAGAAAAACGATAATTTCAACTGAATCAGATCCTCATCAAAGAAATAAGCATGTCCAGAATCAATTGCAGAAATACACACGGTAGAACGTATTCAGACAAAAGAAGCACATATCTCGAAGAAACCAAGAGTAGAAGCAAAAGCAGCATACCTTGATTACGAGGAGGAATAAGATCTGAATGTGAAAGTGGAGAGTGAAGCAGCAGTCTCAGATGATATCACACTGATAGCCATAAACCCTATCTTTATTCCCTCTATTTTGGTGGGAGGGTTGGAGTTCAAAATCAGATACAGTTGTATAGGCCCATTTTCTTTAGGCCCGTTCTAACTGGATAAGTCTTCTTAGGAAGCTACTACTTACACTACCTTTTATACTAACGCACCCACCACCCTTTTTCTTTTATTCCCACTGTCCCACTAAACTCACTCCCTTCATTTTTGGTGTTTGGCAAAAGGGTTGAAGAAGAAGATCACGTGTATGTCATCGTTGAGAGATATGGCAACTCATTTCGAAGCTTAACGACGTCGTTGCCACCGCGCTCAAGCTTCTTGCTTCTTCCCTCTCCGATTTCTCCGATATGCATTTGTGGCGTCGTTGTCATGTTTGAGGACACTCTGCTTCCACACTTCACCTTTTCACCTTTCGAGCTTTGTCCATTTCTCCAAAGAAAAATAACAGGGCACACTATGGATTTTTTTGGTGAACTATTTTATTCGGATTTTACATATTCGTAAATAAAACTGATACTTTGATTAAGTTTTCTTTTTTTTTGACATCTCTTCAAAGAAAACAATAAAGTTCGCTATACAAATTATTTAAAAAAATTAATTATTGTTTTAGTTTTTCCTTTTTTTTAATTATTAATTTAATGTTGTATTAGTTTATTATTCAATTATTTATTTTTATGTTAATGAAGTATTTATTTTCTTTATTAAAATTTGCAACAATTTAAATTATAATGAAGTTTTTACACAGATATTACTTAAAATTTAATTTATAAAAAAAAATTATTGAATTATAAAAATTTAAAATTAATTACAAACAGAATTGAGTTTGAAGTCTTTATTTTTAATTAATTATCTAATAAAGTATTTAAAATTTTAAAATTTTACAATTGAGTATATGTTGTTCAGGTAACCTGACTATCATATTATTCTGTTATGTTGTTCTTGTTTTCATATGTTAAAAGATGGTGATGTGAAACATAAATCGTTTTTACTATTTTATTTACTAATTTTGTTTAAAAACATGTTGAATAATAAAATAATATCTTGGTTATCCAAAAAAAATAAGTATTACTAACCTCATTGTCGTATTATTATTATTATTATCATCATCACTTTCAGCAGCGAAAAGCAACTTTGTCAGAATAAACATTTTGTAAGAATTGGGCGTTGTGTATTAGATGTCCAAAAATAAAGTTTTTTTTAAACATTACCAAAAAACAATTTCTCTGAGAATTGACTAAATTTCTTATTAGAAAAAAAAGGTGGTATAAATTGATTATACTTAAAATATACATAGAGATATACACACAGCAGTATTCTATCTTCCTTTCTTGAATTTACTGATGAGAAAATTCAACGGTGGAAAACTTCTCGACCTTATTGGGGAAAACAAGTTAGAAGACCTAACGTGTTATTTCCGGGATACGCATGCTTGGTTTTCTCTAGTCCAGTGAAAATGCTCCATCGCAATACCTGCCATGCCCAACAAAAAAGAAAAATTATAATTCGTGTTTTCAGACCGTTTTGGGATGTTCAGATTTTGTTGGTATTATCAAACTTCTCAATATCTGCAGATGGATATCTAACAGAAGGTGGAAAATAATACCAGCGAAGAATATTTTTCATCAAGGTAAAAAAAAAATGCTTCAAATTTAAAAGATGTTATGCTAGTATGTTCATATCGTAGCTTAAATTCGAAAGTTGAAATTAAAATAGGAGCTTCAAATTTAAATTTGTTTGAAAGTATATAATGATTTTAAGCTTGGGAGTTACTTCTAAGCTAAAAGTTTTTGGTAAACGAAATTTTGTATTCTGAAATAAAATAAAAAAGGAATAAGTATAAACTAAAATTTTCTAACTAGCTTTCTTAAACACTCCTTTAGAACATTTTTTTCATTTAAAACAAAAATTGTTGTTTTAAAAAGATTTTTAAAAAATCTGTTAGGGCCACAATTCCTTTTAAGAGAAGTTTACTTTGAGATTTTTTTTTTCTTTTTTCTATTAAGTTTGAATATGAAAAGAAAAAAATATATAAAATGTTGTTTTCACCGTTTTCTGTACGAAACTTTACACATTTTTGTTAATAAAAGTGAAAATATAAACATAAAATGCATAAAAAAACGCTTTATCAATAAGGATAGGATAGGATAGCAATTTGAGCATAGGAAGTACACTATTAACCACACTAAAGATAGAAATAGCATACCTGTCGCTAAACTTCTCAACAGCATCTGAGGCATATAGAAGGGTTTCACTGGCTTTCTCTAGAACCATATAAAGCTCCTTCCCTCTTGTGACTCGAGAAATAACCCATGCATTATTTTTTGCTCTAACGCACATCTCTAAATCTTTTTCAAAATTACAGCCATCCAGTTTCGCTCTTCTCTTTTCCAACTCCACCTCTTGCCTAAGCTTATTCATGGCAAGCAAGGACTCCTGTACCAACCAAAAAAAGGAACTAAGTTTAAAATTTTTGCAAGTGTCAGCTCACACAGGCAATGAGAGCTCTGGTGACATGACCATTATAGTGCCGAACTCAAAAAAAGTGTCACCAGGATCATGAATAACAAGTTATACTTTCACATTGACTAAATATAATTCGAAAAACAAATCAGAACACAGTCAGATGCCAACACACACCTTTGTTAAAGTTGTTACTTTTGTTGCTGGAGAAGCCCTCGATACATTTCTATCACCATCTACTAGTAAGTAGCGGTACCCACCGACGTGATATGCATTCTCACCACCCCATCCTTTGGATAGCTTCTCTTCAACTTTCAATATCTGAAGTGATGCCTGATGTATTCAACCAAAAAAAGAAAAAAGTGTGATCAGAGAAAAAGATACATTTGCTAAACATATCGGTTCAATTTCATGAGCTTTCCAACTGAAGCTGCACAGTACATTGTCAAACAGAGATTATCAGATAATTAAGCAGATCAAAGTAGTGCCTTGTTCAGTGATGAATAATTAGCAACAGATAAAAAAATGAGCATTCAAAAATATTAAATACTAGTGACTGTTTTAAAATAGCCATATAAGTATTCTGCTTCATGAGCACATGATAATACATGTCTCAACGTCGTATTAATCCAGTAAGCACCAGAAATTTTGGAGTTCAATTAATGATTATTACAAGAAAAACAAGTGCATACAATTTCTTTTCCTTAAGTAGTATATTACTACCCTTATATACTTAGTCAATAATATCATCATCCATTTATATATCTTCCTGTTCTTGATAGCTCCGTATTGTCACATGAAACCCTTATAACAGGAGTCATTAATCCAAAAAAATACAAGACTATTATTATTCTAAGGAACTATGAGCATTTACTAACAACTTTCCTCAATTGCATGGCTTCATATATAATGTCTGATATCATGATGATCATTCACATAAAGCAACAGAAGAGTAAAAATGAGAAAACAACACAATCCCACTAGAATAAACAAGCACAATAATCTGTAATCCCTCTCTTAATGAAATGTTCTTTCATGGGAATCACCAAACACGTTCAAACCTTGTAAGTAAGCTACAAAGAGAATTCAATAATCTAGTGACAACAATATTTTCACAGTATTAAAGACTGTGCCTGGATTGAGAGGACCATTTCAGAAGGGAAATGAAAAGTAACTTTTGTCCACTCTCCAAAGATCGGGAATTCTTTTACGTAAAAGGGAAAAGAATGGAAGTAGTACACAGTAATTGCATTATACATGTACAGGAAAAAGAGGTCCTATCAATGAATTGTCGTGCATGGAGTTGAAGTTGAACCCTAAATGATATAATATAAATCACTAGAATGTTAAGTCAGTTCATAGTGTTGAAAAGCTTAACAGAATCATTAGAAAACAAAAAATAAACCATTTTAGAAGACTAACGTTTTCAATAATTTGCCGCCTCACTTCCGACACACCTTGCTCCCCATTAGGTACAGCTGATACAGGAATCATAAGCATTAAAGTAAGGCTACTATGCTGGTAAACACAGAGGTACATTTTCTCTCCTGTCTGTTGAAGCCAAACTGTGGGAGTGGCAAACACCCACGTACCAACTTCTGCACCCCATAAATCAGTGACAAGATAACCATCTTTTCCTTTAGACCATTTGTCACTCTGTAAGGGCCTCACAACATGATAGTGGTTATCTTCACCAGATGATATATCAGATGTGCCATATAAACTTTCAGACAGAGAGTTTGGATGGGCCGAGTTAGACTCAATGGCAACATTGGATGCAGTACTTCCTTTCCTTACGTAGGACCAGGAACTTGATCCAGAAGATAGAGCATGGGGAGTCAACCTTAGCACCGCATATGTGAATAAATTTATGGTATCATCCTGATAACATAGTCAAGGATAATTAAGTAACTTAATGAATGACCAATAGTTCTGCCCAATCAAGTTCAGTGAAAAAATTGTACTGATAAACCATACAGGAGATAAAGTTGTGGACACTAGCAGGTCTTGAAATAAAATCAAAGAATCACAGAGACTGTTCCCAGCAGACGATTCAAGCACCCTGACAAGGGACTGCAAAAACAAGACAGAACAACATCAACATTCCAAACTTCCTCTTTCATCAAAGCCAGCGGCAAATAAATAGTCAATAGCTTAAGTGGCCACCAGATCCAAAGGGTGGAATGAAAACGCAACTTTAAACATTTCTAACCTGAACCTCAATTGCAGCCTCCCGACAAATTGTCAGCATCTGCACAGTTCCACGTTCCTTAAGGCAATCACGGAAGGATGGTAAAAGAAGCTTTCTCCCCGCAAGAAAATCTGCCTCAAAGAGAAAATTCATAATTAAGGTTTGAGAGACAGCTACTTCAGCATCAGTCAGGTAGCACAGAGCCAAAGGAAACCGTTTGACACAGCAACTTCACCATTACCACAGCAGCAATTATCCCACGGAGACCGGTTTTTACAAGCTGACAATTATGACTTACAATGAAATATTTTGAATCATAACTCCAATGAAAAATATAATGATGTATCAATTTCATAGGCATGCAATTGTGTGATGACTTACCCCTCAGATAATCCATGATAAAGGAATATAAATGTCGTCTTGTTAGTTCTCCACAAGGTTCTTTCTCCAGCATTCCTCGAACAGATCCATGAAACATTATAAAAAGTGAGTGAATTTCCTTGAGAACTTTTCTTAATGCATCATCTCTCCAGATAGGCTCTGAGTCATTGCTTTTCTCCACCAACTACAAGGTAACAACCTCATATTACTGCAAATTGCACATAGGTGAAGCAACGTTGTGGAAAATGACAACATCTGCACTTCAGTAACCTAGTCCTTAAAAAAATTTATTCCTTCCCATTAAATATTTAACTGAGGAAACAAAAATGTAATGAATGAAATAGTCCTAAAAGGTATAAATTTAATTGAAATGCATTGACAAGGGAAAGGTTTTCTATACCTTCGTTCAGTCACGTATCATCATATATGACAGTGTAAAAACTTTACATTAATATAACAGTTAAACTCCAAAGTTACTGGATGAATTACATCTCTGACCTTTAGATTGCATAATGAATAACACATCATCAGATGGGAGCAATATCCCACTATTTGTATTCATAAATTGGCTAATTAGGGGTTGAGTTTTGATCTAATGATAACAAGTTTCTGTAGCTAGCTTCATAGACCCCATTTCGTAAGAAGCAATTAGTATTCCGTATGTACAGTGTAGCAACAGATGTAAGCACAGAACAAACCTCAAATCAGTGAGTGGTTTGAAGAGACCTGTATGTGAGCTCTGTTGCGACCTTAGCATTAATAACAAAAGATTTCCCACAAAGTTTCAAAAATATTATTTCTTGAATATTGTAAAGGAAGAAAAAAAAAATCTATTTCTTGGTGTATAAAACTATTAACCTATATTTATTCATTTGGCAATGCATTTGATTGCAAGCTTTTACTCACTGAGCTGATAACTCTATCGTTATAGTCGTTATTTTTAGTAGTTAGTTAAGTAGTCATAATCAAATTACTTAGCTGATGACAACTAACTACCTGGGCATGAAGTAAGGCAATTCTCACTTTTAATAGGTAATCGCAATTCTCCTTCTCTGTATTTTTCTATACGAACAAAATCTCGAGGTTTTTTCTATTACCGAGCTCGTGCAATTTGATATTCTTCAAGCTCTTTAGATTTCCTAGTATCTTGTGTTCTATTAACAACCGTATCAACTATTTAACAGTGTGAATAACTGAATTAGAGTCTTCTACTCAAGTGAACGAACAGATACATACATACATACATACCCGAATTCCAACCAATGTGAATGAAAAGAAAAAAAAAACGGACCATGACCATCCAGATATCAGGTTCGGCCTCGTGGAAAACGTGAGAATGTCGCTCAGCTTCGATGACCTCGCAAGCAGCCTCGGGAGAAAAGATTCTGCAAAATTGAGCGGACAAATGAACGAATCAATGAATCATCAATTAATTAATGTCTTGAATAATTTAAAAAGCAAACAGACAGTAAAATGAATACATAACCTAACCTTGTGAAAGTGATGAGTCCTTCGCTGAGACCAATGACGGAAAGTTGCTTGGAGAAAGGCAAGCCCGCTGGGAAGAAGAAGAGGATCTTATCAAGCTCTTGGCCCTCATGTTGCCCTCTTCTCAGATCAAAAATGCATAATTGTATCGATTCGTTCGAAGACACGCCCATCGCCAACAACTTCGCTTTCTCCTTCTTCACCCTTCCCTCAAATCAAAACTCAACTCAACTGAATCAACCACTACCACTGTGTGTAGTTTATTCTGGGGCCAATTTTTTCACAATTTTCATAATGTTGTCCAAATAAAATAAAAAAGTTATGTTTGCATAAACCAAAAGTAATTATTTGACCCAAAAAAAAAATTAAGGCCAATATTATAAGTCTAATTAAAAAATATAAAACAAATAAAAATTTACGTATCTTCTCAGCACTTTTTTACTTTTTTTTTTACATAAACATTAAATAAACTCGTGTATAACATTCATAAAAGTGCTTATATAAACATTTATAAGAGAGAATAAAGACTTTTTATGGAGTAATTATTACTCTTAATTTATTATTTTGAGAATCTTCAATTTTATCCTATTTAGGTGTAAACAATAATAAAAAATTTCAACAATTATCGTCATACAAAACATTTTTCATAATTTTCTTATAAAATATTTTATTAATCAAAAAAAACATTTTTAAAAAAAAATCACAATGGATCAATAAAAAATAACAAATTAAAATTGAATTAAGAGATATAAAAACCATTATAAAACACAAATGTAAGACTAACTACTACAAGAATAAAAAATTAAATGGGCACCACAAGAAGGGTTTTATTAATTACGTATATGTAAAATTGAAATCATGATAAAGAATAGTACTAACACTTTGAATCAATAATCCATTTAAACAAATAATTTATAGAAATAGAAAGAAAAAATGTTGAAAAATTGACTAGTACATAAAATAGACATAATCATATCACTAGAAGCAAAACATTATAGTGTTTTTATCCATAACATCCATTAGAGGAAACAAAAATTATTGGAATCAAGTGAGCCTACCATGTTAATGCATGTTTTATGTTTATGAATTTTTTTTTAAGGTATTTTTCAATTCCAACAAGAAAACTATTTACTTAATGGTAAGAAAAACTGATTATTTTACTTATTAATTCATGACTATATATGATAAAAATTTATCATAGACAATATATAATGATAAAATGGAAAATATACGTAAATTTTTAATTATAGTGATGATGATTAGGATAATAATAATCATGATAATTTTATGTAAATAATAATACTGATAGAAATAATATTATCAATAATAAAAATAATTATAATTAATAATAGAATAATGATACTTTAACAACATTTTTTTTATAATATTTTACGTGTCATTCTATAATTGGTGTAAAATTATTTTACAATCAATAATAATAATTATAAACACAACCAATTACAGAATAACACGTAAATGATGTTAAAATATTGTCAAAGTATCATTATCTTTGATAATAATCCATAACGATGTTTGGTGAGAATTTGATAAATATGCTAAAAATAAGAAAAAACTGTATTGATAAATTGTTCCCCAATAGAAAGAGAGAAATCAAGTGGTTTGTCAAATCACGACTGCTGCAAATGGATAGTGTGAAAGTCATAACCAACAACAACCCAACAAGAAGAAGTCCTAATTTGACTTCAAAATTTCCAATTCTACCGTGAGTGCATATGTATACTCGTTTTTTGGTATTACATCATGTCCCCCTTTTATAATTTTAATTTTTTTTAAAAAAAATCAAGAATGCACTAAATTACTTTCCATAATAGCTTTTTGTTTTATATTACATAAATATTTAATTATTTCATAACGGCATTTTATTTTGTTTTAATAAGAATATTATTCAAAAGAAAACTATATTTATTAAGTTTTTCTAGGGGAGATACACTTTTTATTTTATTTTTTTCTTCTTGCATGTTATTTTTTTTATCCATAATAACATAAATAGTTAATATCGTAAGAAAAACAAAAGTTTACTTAACGAAAACAGACAAAGGAAGTTTTGTCATACGAAAACATTAACCATGACCAAAACAACGAGGAGTTTTCATGCCAATAAGAACACGCACAGAGACAAGGGAAAACCAGTTCAACGTTCAACAGTATGCAGGCGTTTGTTGAAAGTCTTTTAAAAAAAGAAAAGACAAGTCTACGTACATATTTAAATGTTAAAAGTAATATCATATAAAAAATAAATTTTAAATCTAATTTAATTTTAAAAATTCGATTTTAAAGTAAAATTGGTATTCATTTACATATTCAATCCTACCATAGTTAATATATACATTTCGTATGAGATTGAATATTAATAAAATTTTGTTACAATAAATTTTAATGTATTATTATTCGATATGATGTTAAAAAGTAAATTTAAATATGTTTCGGTCCTACAAATTTCCTTGTATATGTTATAAAATAACCTTACAGGAATACTTTTTGATAACAATAAGAATGTCCTGTGTCTGAATAAAAAAATGTTTTATTTCTTTTTCATGTCACACTCGGTGAAGCAGTGGTTGTATTCAAGTATTTGTTGACGAGTCCATAGTAATTGATAGCATTAAAATTTTCGGGCTAATTAACTCATGCATGAGCGTGTCTATCATGTAAATATTTTATCATATTATTGGTGTTATTATTATATTCAAAAACCATGTGAAGAAAGCAGAAAAGAGTTGAGAAGGAACAATTATAAATACTAATGCAATAGAAGCAAACAGAAAGCATATACATACATATACTTTTGAAGAAGATGGCTTCGTGTTATGATTTCTTTCTTTCACGGAAATTTGGTAAAATGGCAAAGCGTCTCTTTGGATGGGCTGATAATGATAAGTCTCAAACTCTGCCTCAGCCATCAAAATCTCGTAAGTGTATTTGCTGTTTCAAACTTTGTTTCCTTTTCTTCTTAAAGTACCCAGAAATACTGTTTCCTTGTGCTGATACTTGTGTTTGTTTCTGAGCAGAAGTTAGAATTTTGACACGAGACGATCCACGAGGATTTAATTATTAGTAGTAACATGTAGCAGCAGCTGCAGCATCTGTCACAGATTATCTATGATAAATTTAGATTTATGTTACTTACTTCATACTTCACTTCAATGGATTTGGAAAAGAGTGATTGAATGAATTTGAAAAATTTAAAAGTAAATATTTTGTTGTTTATTTGAGTGGAATTTGGAGATAAGTGAGAGTGAATTTGGAAGTAAAATTTGTGAGAATTAGTGTAGAATTTGATTGATGTGACAGATTAAAAGAATTTACTTCCAAATTCACTTTCACTTACTTCCAAAATCCACTCAAATAAAGAACAAAAAATTTATCTTCAAATCCTCTCAAATCCATTCAATCACTCTTTCCCAAATCATTCAAGTGAACAATAAGTTAATATTTAGCTTCTTTCTTCCTTAAGTTTTAGGTCGTTAACCATTCGAGTGAAGTTGTATCTTCTCTTTGGCTTCTCCTGTATAATAGTTGTAATTAAATTGATGAAGCAATAAATTTACTTATATTAGGGTTATGAAAATCTAGATAATAGTTTGATGAGTAATTCTTTATGACATATTTTTACATTCATTTAACACAGAGTATAAGAATAAAATTGTTATAAAAATGTAAATTTTGTATGTTTTAAAAAAGAATGTCAAATAAATGTAAAAGATTTAGATATATAAAAAATATTTTTCTAATTTGATTATTGTCGTTGTTTTTAGAAGTAATTCAACCCAGCGAGACCATGCTTGTGAAAATGGCTAACTAAAAGATGCCTCTTTCAATAATTAACCTGAAACCCTCAATTGAAAAATGTGTTATGAATAAATAATGAAATAGTACCAACCACATGTGACAATTTTATATGCAACAACACACATGTACTAAAAATACGTGCACCGGGAAAGTGTATCATAAACTTGTTGATTTATAACTAAATATTTTTATTCAGAATAATTTTTATATATATTGAAATAAACAAAGTTTACCCTAAAATTGTTGAGTATAAAGTTATAAAATTATGTATATTATGGTTATTATTTTATAATTTATTAAATTACTATATATATATATATATATAATTATAAAAATAATAGAATTAATAAACATATATATTTTCCTCTTTTCTCTGGATTACGTTATATACAAGAAAGACTAATCAACCACATATACCATATTCTTCTTTTCAAATGGAAAAAGTTCAAATTGTGTATGGGTTTGAAACATTATACATTCCAAATTACCATCTACAATTATTTTAAATTATCTAATTTATAAATACATTCCAAATTTTACAAACAATAATTCAAAAATATATTTTAAATTATACAATTTAAAAAATCATATAATTTAGAATATATTTTAAATTGAAAACTCATAAATGCATAAATGGAGAGGGGAAAAAACGAGAGCCCAGATTCCATAGGAACTTTTAGAGGGCCATCACAATCAACAACTCCTGCTGGGAAAGATTTAGAAATTTTTAACTTTGAAAAATAAACCCAACAATTAATAATTAATAATTTACTATAATATTTCTCGTATACCATTAAATAGGTTATTAATAAATCTAATAGCAAAATTAATAATTTAATTAAAAAATTTATCAACACATATTTAACTTACTAATATTAATTGTTAATACTCAACATATTATTTAAACAAACACGTTTAACTTTATAACTCACTATATAATATTCTTACCCACATTTTAAATTTCATACTAAAATTATTATTAAGTATGATTTGAATTAATAATCGTTTTCGACTTTATAACTTATTACTATATATAGTAACTTAAATCACCATTTCAAAACTTGTATTTAAAATTTAACCTTTGATATCATAAATATTTTTATTATTTTTACGTAAGCATAATTTGAAAATAAGTATTAATTATTTTTATTATTCATAATTATACTTTAGAACATTTTTAATATACTAAAAAGTTCAAATTAAATATTAACAACCATTCTTATAAACTCTTAACTCTCACTAAAATATTTTACAATATTAATTAATTATTTCTATATCATTTTTCAAAACTATATTAAATATATTAATTATGTAAAAAAGTAAAACTACGATCAATATAACTTTATTAGAAAATGAAGAAAAAGATAAAAATCATATCGGAGTTCGGCTTCAGTCAGGTAGCACGCGCAATATAGGTAGTTTTTCAAGATTGGCTATTTATGTAAACAAATTCCAAAAGATTTATTGTGCAACCTTT